ATGCCAAATCCATGGCAGTCCATTTGTCAGATTTCTAAAAAGAATATTTCACAGACTGACGTATTTTCCACAGGTCCTCTGAGAAATCATAATGCTACTTTTAATTTCAACAGCCTTTTGATTTCCAAAATATATTTAGGCCTCTGCAATTTTTTCTTTGCAGGAGCAGGATAAACAACATTGAATAATATTCATCACTGACTTTCTCCTCACCTTACGATTGAAACTTTTAACTACTGCACTGTGGTTTGCGGTACCAAATTCTCCTCCTGTGTTATACCAAACTGGTTTGGTTAATAATCACCCGAAATTTACAGTGTGGAATGTCCTTTGAAGAGTAACATGTTCAGTGTCAGGTGTCTAAAAGAGCCTTTTAAATCACAAACTCATTCAATGATCATTCAAGACATGTTTTTAATACCTACACCCTGCATTGTACCAAGCACCAAGGGTGTGATTGTGAACAAGAAATACACATCCCATGACCGCATGAAACTGATATTCATTCCAACATGTAATCACGATGGTGTTGCTGTGATTGATTAAAGCAGCAAGTCTAGTTCTTTTATGAAGTGTGAGCAAGCTACAGAATATATTATACGTAAGTTACATTTCATGTTCCTTCCATGATTTGTCTCCAAATCACTTTCCTAATAGCATCTGCAATCATATTTATGCATGAAAGTTGTTCTAGCCAACTCTGGACTATTGACTTTTCCCAGACCATACCATGCCATTTCTCCAGTCGATGTATTTACTCACATTGTTTCCTCATTCAGGAATGAATTCTCTCCTCCGGGTCTCACCACCACTCCATATACCTCCACAATTCCTTTCCACCTCATCTCCATTCCTTGCAATCTTACCCAGCTGACCTAGTTTAAAAGTCATCTGAACCATGGTCCTTTTGTCTGTGTCCCATTTGGACTCAACCATCTCTTTTCTGTTTTCTTATAGTGTCTTGATTGTACCACTATTTTTAGCATTTATGGTGTCTTATTCTTTCTACAATTAACTACAAATGTCTGTCTCCCAAGTTATATTGTCCTTTAACATTTTGTCTTACATGTATAAACACTCAATAATTCTATGTTGAACAAATAAATAAACGAATAATAGTCAATGAACGAATCTGAAAGTATGCTTTTCTGAGTATCATTCTTTTATAACTTCTAGTTACTTTTGCTAAGAAATAAACATATTTAGAGTCCACTATTGCAAATAAAAGATGGTCTGTCTGCTCTTTTTGAAGCAATATCCCAATATCATGTTGAGAACATCAGCAGTAGTAACGAATGGAGCAGTAATAAGTGGAAGCATCTGGTAATCCATATTTATAGAGAAATGTCAGTTGTATATTCTCCATGAGGTTGCAGTTAATAAAATTAAGGTACTGGGAGGTTCACTTGCATTCCTAGGGCTATACATGCTCTACCTCTGGTTAAAATCTGTTTTAAGCATTGCTTAAATGAGAAAAGCCAGATTGCCTAGCACAGTTAGCCATTTTAATATTTTCACATTAGACAATATTAGAGAGACAAAGAATATGAACAAAATGCTGTATATATCAAACCTTACTTTTAAATAAAAAAATTCAGAACCATTGAAAAAAGTGAAATGCTTAATAAACCCATAAATAATACAACAGTAATTTAAAGTAAATTTACCCTTAAAATATAAGAAAAATAAATTAAGGAAAGAGGGGAAACTCAAAATGCAATGTAGTTCTGGCAGAGAAAAAGATACATTGAAAGCATATATAAACTAAATTACATAGATAGTAAAGGAAAGAGAACCAATATAACAGGAGTGAAAATACAAAAGAGAAATTTCAGAATTTTCAAGGGGGTGGGGGAGGGAATTAAAAGGAAACAGGCTGATCATATTTCACAGATCTCTTGAGTTGTTTAGTTAGACATTTCAAGCATAACCCCAATTAAAAGGCTGGGAGAAGCACATATCATTAATTTATTTTTTTTGTTTGGGCCAATAATGGGGAAGAAACGACTGGCTCACTCCCACACTGCCCATTTCCAAGTCATATTTCTGATCATAAATGTACAGAAGTTTAACATTGTAAGAATTTTTGGAATATTATATAAATATCTGCTTTTCTCAGTTTACATTTATAATGCTTGAATACTGAGAATCCATAACACTAATCCCAAAGCCATAATTGAAAAATAACTCATAATTCAAAATCTTTAAATTGTTTATTTAAAAAATCAGCATTATAATTAAAATCTATGGAATGTATGGGGGGGGTCTAAAACTTGTCTATAACACTTTCAGCAAAAATATTGTGTTTCTCAATCAAGATCTGAGGTGCATGAAACCTTCACTATACTAACTCCAAAATATACTTAATTTATGGCAGATAACCTTATTCCATATACAAAACCTTGGAATGACAACATTGGTTATAGTATTACTAGAGGCCCAGTGCATGAACATTCATGCTCTGGAGGGGGGGGTCCCTCAGGCTGGCCTGCCCCCTCTCACAGCCCAGGAGCCCTCAGGAGCGGGATGCGACCCGGCGATCAGGGGAAGGAGATGCCCCATCACACCTCTGCTGCTGCCACTGCCGGCAGCGCAAGCCTCAGCTGGACCTGGTTACCTGAGCCTCAGGCTGGCCCTGGGTGGCTGGGGGACTGGGAGACTCTGAAGGCAGGCGCGCAGAGCGGCCAGGCCCCCCTGGGGGCGGGCCTGGCTTTGCCACATGCCTGCCGCCCCAGCAGGGCTGAGTGACTGGGTGCTGCCATCTTGTGGCTGTGGTCACCGTCATTTTTGAGGGCATGGCAGTCAATTGGCATATTCCCTCCTTATTGGCTGTGGGTGCCACCATCTTTGAGGGCAGGGCAGTCAATTAGCATATCCCCTCCTTATTGGCTGTGGGCATCACCATCTTTGCGACAGCATGAGGGTCAATTAGTATATTCCCTCTTTATTAGATAGGATTCTTGGGCTGTGAATTTGCCTATAGGTAGAACAATGTAAAGTCCTGTGGCTTACAGTAATAGACTCCCTTGCAAGAGACCCAAGATAGACCCATCTTATGCTTAACTGTAGTTCACTAAACAAAGCAAGGAGAAATGAGTGAGAGATTTTACAACTCATGTTTCTATTGCCTGATCCTGCAAAAAACTAAAAGCAGTAAAACTTAATAAGGCATGTTCTCTAATTATCATCCCTTTGAAAACTACCCTCCCTAGGGCTGACCCTAATATTTTCAGGGTGTGGGGCAAGATCACAATGTAGTCCCACATGGTAGATTTTTAAATATTTAAAAATGACTAATCAAGCTAAAATATCATTACAGAAATTATGTTTTTCCTGTTACCATGACAAATAGAATTTTAAATAAGGTCAGATTTGAATATAAAATTTTTTTCAACCCTTTGAGTGATCAAAGGCCAACAACACTCTGATTAAATTGGCCTTGGCTCCCCTGACCTTGGGATCAAATGTGCCCAGCCCCCTCTCACCACAGTCTGTAAATTCTTTTCTATTCATCTGAAATGACTACCCTTCTACAACTTCTTTCCCTAATTACATCTTCCTAATCTTTAAGCTTGTAGCTTGAATTCTCTCATTGTTCAATACTCAAGTCATTCAGACTCTTCTTAGTGTGTAGTGACAAACATTCATCAAAATTCTTATGTAGTTACTACCTCGTGCCTCATCAAGCCTCATGAAGCCATCTCTGCATTATCTAACCATTTCATCTCTAGCATCTAGCCAAGCACCCAGCACTTAGTTGTTCAATAAATGCTTGTGAGCATAAGAATAACTTCTGGGGTGTCTTAAAAATGAAGATTTCCTACTGACCCCTACCGTAAGTGATTCTGGAACTGTTGTCTTTGACCAAATATTATAATACTAGAAGCCCGGTGCATGAAATTTGTGCACTGGTGGGGGTGTCCCTCAGCCCAGCCTGCACCCTCTCCAATCTGGGACATCCCTCTCACAATCCGGGACTGCTGGCTCCTAACCACTCACCTGCCTGACAGCCTGATCACCCCCTAAGTGCTCCCCTGTCAGCCTGATTGACACCTAACTGCTCCCCTGCCGGCCTGATCACCCCCAACTGCCCTCCCCTGCTGACCCAATTGCCCCCAACTGCCTTCCCCTGCAGGCCTGGTCACCCCCAACTGCCCTCCCTTGCTGG